GGCGGACCGGGTGCCCCCGGGACCGCTCCATACCTGGGGGCCGCTGGGCTTGCTGAAGGTATGCTTATGTGCATGAAATGATGCTGGCATTGTAAGGTTATGTAGGCGATGGCCGCACTCGGTCCACTGTTCTTCAGCGTACCTTAGTTGGCATTGGAGAGTTGAGCTAATGCGATGTTAAGGGTGAGATTTAGCACTGAAATCTAAAGGCCATAAAGTCCTTCCAGTAATTTGGGCCTGTATGTATGGGCCTGGGTATGTAATTCTCATATGTCATTCTGAACATCTGAGGGCATTATCTTTTTTTTTTTGGGAAACTTTTTCTTGGAAACCTTGTTGTAGAAGACTTTGAAGATCTTGGCTGTGCCCAAAGCTGTGTGTGTTTGATATGGAACCTGAAATTACTTTTATGAACTCTCTTGTATTGTAGCCGTGACATTGAATGTCTTGCTCTTCAGAGCTCTTATGTGATGTGATAGCTGGACTGGTCCTTTGCACATAGGAACTGTTGGGTAGGTCAGTCAGCTGTATCTTTTAAACTGAAAGAGGGTAGAGGTGGATTGGACATAATGAAGAAATGTTTTACAATGGGGGTGGTGAGACACTGGAACGGGTTGCCCAAGAAGTTGTGAATACCTCATCACTGGAAGTGTTCAAGATCCGTTTGGATGGGGCTTTGAGTAACCTGATCTGGTGAAAGGTGACTCTGCCTATCAAAGCGGGGGTTGGAGCAGATGATCTGTTAAGGTCCCTTCCAACCCAAACCATTCTGTGGTCTTCAGAGGGAGTGTACCTGGGTTTTACTTGCTTTATAGTGGTCTGTGAACAAGTAGGAATTAGTGTACTATCTGTGGGTTGTATTTTGGTGATGTTTCTCCAAATTGACAGTATCTATTTGGTAAGGGCATTAATCTCATATAAAGATTATATGAGATTTATATTCTCATAATAAACACAGTATGTCCCATGGTCACTTCAGGCTAGCACAAGATTGCCTTACTGCAATTGTTTGTGGTGTGAACTCAGTTGGGGCAGGTATCCAGGTTAAAAATAAACCTAGGATAAGCTTATTTTTTTATTGGACTTGATTGTTCTCTGAAAGTTGTGTGAGCTCAAGGAGGATGGGAGACTTCAGAAGGCCTTAGGGCAGAACTAGTGGTGTTAGTTTCAAATACCTGTGATGCTATACTTATGATGCTGTGGGATCATTGTAACTTCCTTCAGAGTGGGAGTTCACAAAAGATCCTGGTGGTGCAACGTTTTCTCAACAATGTGAAGAACTGAATATGCTGGACAGGATAGGATGTAAATATTTGAAAGATAGTAGATTATGGAGTGTGTTAGTGTTTTACTGAATTTAGGCTTCCCTATACACAGGCTTCCCAATGCTATGTTGAATGGTGCCCATTATCACCCTTTCTTAGTGATTGAACTTTGACTATGAAAGTCTTGTTATTCTTTTGATGAGAAAGGCAGAGTTGCTTTTGTCATCTTATTGTAGAAGCTTATCTGTAGGATGTTGTGGTACACTACTGCTTTCCTTTTATTTTTCCTATGGCTGCATATTGTGAGAAGTGCTTTTTTCCTTTCCAATAGGTAGGGATATTCAATAGCAATATACGAACCTTTCTTATTTTGGAAGAAAGCTTGGTTTATTAAACAGTATGTTTAATAACCTACATATACAAATAACTACGTCTAGTTATTTCTTGGGGTTTCCATGTTCCTTTAAGCTGGAGCAAGTCTTTTAGCTGGTAATGTTGTTTATTTTTACTGGAGAACAGAACAAAACATACATGGCAATAAAGTTTGGTTGGGGTTTTTGGTTTGGGTTTTTTTGGGGTGGTGGGGAGTGTGTCTTGTGTTGGACCACTAGTGTGACCATCCTGGAGAGCAGGCAAATGTGATCCGCTGTACCAGGGCAAGATTTCCAGTAAACAGGAGACTATCTGTGCAAGATAGATCTATGTATAGGACATGGGTGGGATTTCCTCAGGAAATCTTGTGTATAGTTCTGGTCACCCATGTTTGAGAGACAAATTCAAGTTGGAACATATGGATTGGACACAGGCAATTTGTTATCCCTGAATTTGACATGGAGGTGAAGGAAGGGAAGAAAACTAGAGAGGTTAAATGGTGGTACAACAAATACACGTAAACTGTGCTCGATATGAGTAGAAAGGGCATGAGAAGGGCAACGAAGCTGGTGAGGGGACTGGAGCACAAGTCTTAATGAGGAACAGCTGAGGGACCTGGGATTGTTCACTCTGGAGAAGAGGAGGCTGAGGGGAGGCCTTACCGCTCTCTACAACTACCTGAAAGGGGGTTGTGGTGAGGTGGGTGTTGGTCTCTTCTCCCAAGTAACTAGTGATAGGACGAGAGGAAATGGCCTCACGTTGCACCAGGGGAGGTTTAGATTGGATATTAGGAAAAATTTCTTTACTGAGAGAGTGGTCAAGCATTGGAACAGGCTGCCCAAGGAGGTGGTAGAGTCACCATCTCTGGAAGTATTCAAAAAATGTGTGGATTTGGCACTTCAGGACATGGTTTAGGGGGCATGGTGGTATTGGGTTAACGGTTGGACTTGATGATCCTGAAGGTCCTTTCCAACCTTAATGATTCTGTGAAAGTTCCTACTGTTGGGCAGTTGGGTGCTGAAGATATTTTTATTTAGTGGAGGTAAAAACACATAGAACTGGTTAAGCTGTTGAAGATTTTATAACATGGTAGCTGCAATAAGATTCTCAACAAGGTAACTCAGGCCTTTTCTTTGAGCTGTAAGCAATTTTGTTCCTTGCAATGTTCTATTTTAGTAGTGAGACTTGGACATCTTCAGTATGTTTATCCTCTGTCGTGCTTTTTACAGGTGGAATATAGAGAGATGGATGAGAGTCTTGCAAACCTGTCAGAAGATGAGTATTACTCTGAAGAAGAGAGAAATGCTAAAGCTGAGAAAGAGAAGAAACTACCACCACCACCTCCACCAGCTCCTGCAGAAGAAGAGAATGAAAGCGAGCCAGAGGAGCCATCTGGTGAGTAAAGACAGACCTTCTCTGATGACACTACTTACCTGTTTTATTGCCAGAAATTAAGTGGGGTCAGGTACAGCATCATGAATCCTGTGTCTGGTTTTGATCTGGTTTTGAATGATTGTTCTACAGTGGTTTTTTTGCTGGCCCCATATGTGGAAGGAGAGGAAAAATGCAGAAGAGCAGCCTGATAAAGATGGGAATACGCATGATATAATTCCAAACTAAGCCAAACCTCTCGTCCTAGATTCTCGTGATCCTTACTGACTTCTCTTTGGAAGCTTATTAACCAGAATAGCCTCTTTGGCACTTAGCTGCCATACCTGCTTGTGTACCAACATTCACTTATTCCTCTAAGAGAAGTTAGGTTTACTGCGGGGGTGCTATGCAGGAGAACAGATTTAATCTACAGTGATTCTTGTGGCTTTAAACTATTGACTCTAATCTTAAGTTCTGGTTAGATACTGTTTGCTTAAACTTCAGTGCTTTCCTCATTACTTTTGACAGAGTTGTAAAGCTTCACTTTACGTTGGAAATTTTTTTGGTCGGTCTTGTTCAGGAAGCAGCTTTTGAAATTTCTGGTATTGGCAGTACTCTATCTATTCTTTACCTCTGTTGTATTTACAGCCACCATTAGTTAGGTCTGGTGTTGATGTATCGCTCTACTATCTACAAAATCATACTTCTGCAACGTTTAGCTGTTGGAGAGATTTCATGGGATGATGTGTGTGCTAGCTGATTTTAGATGGTAGCTGAAATCTAGTAGTTGAACTTTTGCTGGTTCATCACTGATATGAATAACTGTTAGTCTTAAGTTCTGCTGCTCTTAATTGGCTTCTTTTTGGCTCACAGGTTTGAGAATGTAGACAATAGGACTGACATCAGTTTGGGGATGCTTACCTTCCCTTTCAGAAAATATATTAAAAAGCCACAATTGTGTTTTATCTCTTAGGATTTGCCCCTGTAATTTCTCCTCAGTTGTGGCTGTTGGCTCCTTGCTTGCTACAGGAATACAATAGCTCACACACTTAACTGAAATATTTGAAAAGAATAAAAATCCTCCCTGCCCCTAGTTGTAGCTGATCTATCAAAACTGGAATTTTAATAGGTGTAATTAAGCAAATCCCTTAAGCTTACTATTTAATTTATCTTAGTCTTTGGGTTTAATCCTTGAAAGCTAATATTAATACACTTTTGATATTACTTAGATACCATTTTGTGTCTCTAAGAATGATAACTGGAATCAGTTTGAGACATAATCAGTGAAGTACAGTGTTTTATCTCATGAAGGAAGAAACATGAAAGATGGGCAGTGATAGACTCATGCTATTCTATACACACAACAATTTGTTAAGCAGTTGCTCTGCAAGCATTATATTTAGTAATCTAAATACAACCAATTTTAAACCAGGCTGTATCTAGCTGCCTAGAAATAAGTAGATTTCAGGTCATCATATCCTTTCTCCATTCCTAGAAGTCCTGTGATATGCATGAAGAAGTGATGTAGGAACATGACAGATTTTCAGTTGTCGTTCCATAGCTAATCTTGTATTTTTAAAGGCTTCTGAAACTATATACATTGGTGGAGATCTCTATCTTTGTCTTTATTAATGCAGGCGTCGAGCATCAGGTCATCTTATGTTGGCTGATTAAGTGCATTCAAACTTCCAATTCAAAGATCCGTTGGCAGGAAGAGTCATGGAGTCTGCTGTATATAGAAGCAATGTTTATAACTGAGGTTTTAATCTCTCTCTCTTTGAAGCAAAAATATAAGTGCTCAATAAGAAATATTAAATAGGACAATAATACTAGAGCAGGATTGCATATTGAAAATTCAACAAAATACAAAACATTAGCTTGTGTATTACTGTTAATTTATTCTTATTGTAGATCTTAATAATTACCTTAGTATGTTTAAAGCCTGCAAAAACATAAATAATGCAGTAGAGATGTAAAGCTGTCCTGTTATGGGTTATGACCTTTTGTGTTGAAAAGCCTAATTGTGCAAACTTAAAAATGTAATAGTGGCAGTAGCTGGTATTCCATTAGTTTGTCCTCACAGGCAGTTTACAGTAGAAGGAGGTTATTTAGTATCACACTTAGGTGACAGCGAAATGCTGGTCTTATTTGGGGTGGGTTCCATTAATGTCTTCAGCTGTGTGGAATTCCAGATGTTTTGGCTATGCAGATTCTTGTAGTCTGGATTTGCAAGATTTACTGCATGTTATTGCAGAACAGTTTAAAAAGTCTTAACAGTTTTTCATGATTGAGATTAATTTCCTTGAAATGTGTGGGGTTTTTTTTTTGTTTTTGTTTTTGGTTTTGGTTTTTTTTTTGTTTGTTTTTTAAACTTGAGAAATATTGTCTGATAGCAAAAAGCTTCCAAACTCACTTTTGGTACTGAATGACCTTTGTGTTCTTGTTTGCAAATATCCCTTTTGAAATTAAGGAGCTTGCTGCTTTTGTTTTTTTCCTCTAAGGATCTTTTTTGTTTACCCTCACCAAATTGTATTTTCAAAGATAGCCCCTGTCTTTTTAGTTTTGTCAGTATTCTTACTTTGTGGTAATCTTATGTTTCTAGCTGCTGTTTTCCAAAGAAGTGTGAGACTGAATATGATCCAGATTAGTGTCAAGTGAATAGTCAAATTCAGTGGTACTCTGTCTCTGTCTTTCATCTGACCTGTTTGTTTTCCTAATTGAATTCAGTACTCGGTGGTAATCGTGTGTTGCTAGTCTTTATTTTAAGACAGTGGATGATTGTATGAAGTGGACTCCTTGTACAACTTCTTCCTGGTTGCAGTTCAGCTCATGGTCCATTATTCTGTTTCCTTGAGACTTGCAGCAGATTCTGCTCTTGCACATGTTGTGTTCAGCTGCAATAATTTGATGTTAACATGGATCAGCAGTTTGTTTGCTGCTTTGTTGCTTTGCAGCTGGAACATGACTTTCTTATGGGGAAGGAGAGGCAATCTGCACTGGCAGGCCTTGTTTCCACACTTCCATCCTCAGACTGGATATTGTTTAGAATTGTGTCCAAGCAAGCAGTAATAGTAATGCTTTTCTTCTGACCTAACATTGATGGTGGTTTAGCTGTTATTAACAGAAGAGGAAAATACTGACTTCTTTTTGCAAGTAAACTGAGAACAATTTTGTTCCCTCTACTCATTGTCAGTGCTAATTCAGGGATAATGAATGCCACAGGCTGATGTCAGCATCTTTTCAACTTCTTAACTGACAGAAAGCACAAGTGTAACTTGCAAATTAATGGCCTGTGCTGGAATGTAAATATTAGTGTTTGAGTTGTGTTGTCTCTCCCAGAATGAAAGCAGGTCTTGTAATGTTCCCAGCAAAATAAAGTACTTGTAGTATAGGTGAAGTGAGGAATTTTCTCTTGCTATTGCAGACACATTAGTTCATAGAATCCTGACTTTGGGACTTCTGAGGCCTGTTAAAATACAATTGTTTGTCATGGTTTCTCTTGTGAGGTTCTGAAGTTCCATGCTGGTAGACTGATTATGTAGAAGTACTGACTATTGCTCCTCTACTGTAGCTGAGTGAAAATGGCTTTCTTGTTTCGTTCCTATTTTATCTTATCTGTAGATGTGTAATGCTGCAACATTCCAGATGTTAATCCAGGTTATTGAAGTATGAAAACATTTGGTTCGCTTTGTGTCTTGCTTTAGGGGTTAAATTTGTAGTTCAGGTGAAATTCTTTAAGATAGTGGATCCTATAAAAGCCTCAAATTAATTCTGGTGAAATTGTCCATCCAATCCCAAAGTCTAAAGAGTAGTTTTAACAATTGTGTGTTCAGCCTCAGGTTAGACCTTACTTTTACCTGTATGGAGATGACTCCTTGAGCAGTTGTGCTCTAGGAAGTGACTGTTCCTTTTGGTACCTTGACCTCAGCAGTTTGTTTCAGTGGGGGGTTGTTTGCACTTTAGAAGACACTGAATTTGCTGACCATTGAAGCACTTGGTTTGAAGGAGCCTTGGTACAGGAGCAGGTAGCTGAACAGTGCTTGGCTGTCTGTGTAGTGTTCCACAGCTTCCTGCTCTGGAGGCGACGAGACTTTAGAAAACATCTGACTGTGGAAGAATATTGCTTATGAGCTAAACTTGGGGCTAGTGTCTCCTGTGAAGATTAGCAGTGTGTAAGGTGACCTGTATTAGCTTTGTTCCTTCTGGTGTTGCAGCTGTACTCATCTGCATTCTAGAAATGCTCTGTTCCTGGTTGTGTTGTAGTCCTGTCAAGGCTGCTACTTAGGACTTACATGCAGGCTAAGGTAATTTGAGTGCTTTGTCTTTCCTCATGTTTCTAGCCCTGGATATGTTGAAAGACTGATGTCTTTCAGTGCTGGGTATTGATCACATTACTGATCAATGGTGTTGATGTGTACTTGGCTTCAAAGGTGGTCTTAGTTTGTTAGAACGTTGTTGGTGTATCCAGGACGCTGAAGCCAAAATACGTGGTCTGAGCCTTTCAAAAAACAGTTCTGTCATCAAGCTTCAAGGAAGGGTTTATGTTTAAAAAAAAAAAAAGAGAGAGAGAGAATAGGCTCTCTTGAAAGTAAGAGTCTTTTCAGAATGGTTCAGACTATCCCCATGCATATGGGGAGACTTGGGAGTACCGAGGGCAAGATGATAAAATTCTTACAGTTTGAGATCCATAGAATCTGATGGTGTCCATCCACAAGATCTTGGCAGTAAGAAATGTAACCTTATTCAAATCCTAGCCATTAATGAAGTTGATAAGTATTTAGCCACTAGGAGTGCTACATATTGTGTACTTCTTTATTTCCCATGTCTGATGTAAAGCGTTCCAGTAACATGGATAACACTTTAGAAGACCACAGTTTTGTGCCCTGAACCTAGGTTGCAGAAGATGGGATTCTCAGAAAATGGGTTTAGTTAGTTGGTGAAATTTAATACCTAAAAACGCCAACTGCCAGGCCTTTATGTCCAGTATGGTTTAACTTATGGAGTAAGGTCCCTGAGTTCTCCTCTTTCCTTCCACAGGGCAAGCAGGAGGACTTCAAGACGACAATTCTGGAGGGTATGGAGACGGCCAAGCATCAGGTGAGGGTGGCGTTTGATGCTTGCCACTTAGTAGCAAGAGCCGCCAAGTTAGGGATTGATGCTTGCAAGTGCGCATGGGTGTGGTTGTCCAGAGCTTAGCGAGAGATACAGGAGTTGTTTACCCACCTGTTAAAAAAGTGAGGGGTATTTTCAAATTTCAGTTGAGGTCTGTACCAGCTGCGGAAAAGGATGCTAACCTATGTTGAAATGCCTCAGGCCGATCTCTCATCCCTCCACTCCTCTATATGTTCAGAGGAGTCCAAACGTGCAAAAAGATATTTCTTACTTAGCCAGTTTCTACCACCTAGAATGACACAGAAAGCCCTGGGCTTCAGCACAGTAGACCTTTTTCTAATTTGCTGAAGAAATATAGCATGGAGTACCTTTTTGCTCCTTTGGTTTTGTTTTTTCTTTTGAAAGGTTTGTGTTTGAGCTCTGTGCCAGTGATTAGCCCAGGAGGTTTATCTGTTGGAGAGTTTTCATAGTCTGCTTCTTAGTGGACTGGATTGTGAATTGCATTTGCTATTTGACCTAAGTACTGATGCTAGCAGTATGCACTTATTGCTTAATTCACAGTATTGGTGTCTTTACTCTTAAGTACTTAGAGTGCTACTGAAAATCTTTCTCCAACGCTGCCACTTTTGCTCTCACTTGAGGATTAGGGTTTTAAACAAAGGAGTGGAAGGCTCCAGAACCTATTCTGTACCTCCAAGTTGCTCTTTTTGAAGCAAATATAACTTCACGATACTAATCTGAGTGGATCCTTGCTGTTGTAAGTAAAGGAGCCTAGTTATATTTTGGACCTTACCACTTGCACAGAATTTCTGACTCTTATAGATTGTGGGCTTAAGGATGCATTGCCTGTTTCATTTTTAGACAGGCATTGTCTGTTTGGAAATTCTGTATATTTTGCATTTTATGTATGTGCTGAAGGTATGCTTTAGCAATTGTCCAACTGAGCAGCCAAATAACTTTCCTTCTGAGCGTTTTTCATCTACAGATGTTTCAATAAGTCTTTAAATAAGCTGCATCCCTCAAGCTTTCTTCTGTGGGGAAGATAATCAAAACTTCAGCACATTAGTTGCTGATGCTGAATGTCAGGAAGTGGCTAGTGTGTGTTGCAAAAGAGATGATGAGAATCCAGTCTAGGCAGAGCCATTCCTACAGTCATTAAACAGTTACATGCCCCAAGGAAAGCATGTGTAGTTCTGAACTGGTACTCCCTTTAATGTGTTGCTTTCTTGAAACAGGAGCAGTAAATCTGTGGGATGGGGGGATATAGCCTGAAAATGATTTAACTTTGAGCTGTGTAGTTGCAGAAATAAATTCAAGGATGTTTAGTTCTTATAAGATCTTCCAGTGGTTGGGCCGAATAAAACGATATCTTCGCTAATAATAGGAAGGCTTTTTCTAAATTCTGGTGTCAAACCCTGTTGTGTTTTGTTGGTTTTTTTGTAAATATCAGTGCTCGTGCAGAGCTTTTCCAACATTTTAGATTTTAAGTTCAGGTATTGCCATAAAAGACATGTGGCCTTAAAAAAACCAACAACAAACCCCCACCACCATGGAGTTCTTTCCAAGGCTGTTAGGAGCACCAGTTTCTCTGGTTTCTCCATTTGGAGAAATAAATTGCAAAGCTTTTCAAGAAACTGGCAAGTTGCCTTAAATCCACATGTCTGGGAGTTTCCTGGTAGTTGATCACTGCATGACAGTCAATGCTTTTTAGCAAGTATCTGGAGAAAGCATGCTCATTTAGCATAAGCCTGTAAGAGGGAATCAGGTTCAGCATTTCAAATCTTTAAATAGCCATTCTCTGAAAATTGTGCTGCTGAGCTTTTTGCTAACGCTTGATGATCTAGAACCTTAATTAAGAATAGTTAACATTACCATTTCTCTGATACTTTATTAACTTTGGTTTGATTTACACACACAGTTTTATGGAGCTCATAGTTTAGCATATGCATTCATATGTAGATGTTTGTGCAGTTGGTCCAGTGTTAGACTGAAGGACAACCAAAGGGCTGGGGGATGTTTATTACTGGAGAAGCTGATGTTCTAGCAGACCTACAGGTTTCTAATCTATAGCTGAATATTACTATCAAAAAGTGTTGTGGGTGTGTCAACTTTTCCTATTGTTAATTTCATTTTACTTTCTTGCAGTGCTCTGTGGCCTCTGTTACTAATTTCCTCTTGTAAAATTCCTGTAAATCATTATAGACAGTTTTCTTTACCTTGAGTCATCACACAGTTAGCTCTTCTAATCTTTGCTTGTGAATGAGTTTTGTTAGCTTCACAACCATTTCCTTGCTTAAATTTTTTTCTTCACATTTGGAATGTAAAAATGCTTGGAAGTTAAAAGTGTGTATGATTGCACCAGAATTGAAAGAAGAGAATTCCTCTCCAATTCAGTGACGTGTACCTCTGCACGTGAACTTCAAACTTTCAGACAGTTGTCTTGGTTAGTGTAACACGCTGCAAGCTTATATTTTCTTTGATATTTATTATAATCTTCCAAACAATTCCAGTGTCAGAAAATTTTCTTAATCGTACTGCATTACTTGTGGGTTTTTTCCCCCTTGGGATGTACTGGCTTATATCTTTCCAGATTGAATGTCTTCTCCTCTGTCTGTCCTGATCTTAAGTCACGTCCTAGGACATACAAGATTTATATTGTTCTTGCTGTATTTCAGATCTTAGTATTTCATTTTGCTTGCTGAGCCTGCAAGATCCGCTTTCTGCGCTCTACTTGTGCTGTAGCTGTGTCTGTTATTTTATGTATAGTACAACACTTAAATGAGATTGAGGAATGTAGGGTACATAACTGTATTATTACTTCATTGCCAGTGTTTGAATTGATAAAAGTACAGGTGCCTTTTATGAATGAAGTCTTTCCACAGAGCAAATGTCCGCTATATATGTTCAACATTAGTCTTTTACATGTGGAGCATATAAAAGGAAAAGTCAGAAATCTGTAGTTGTTGATTGTTGGCAGCACTTGGGGAGGGGACACAGGAAAAGCATAAGCAGGATTGGATTTCATTGCACTGTCTGTTGTGAATATATGAAATATGCAAAAGGAGAAGTTAAGATGGGCTTCTCTAGCGTGAGGAGTTCAGTGCAAATGAAACCTTGAAAACCAGGTGAGAGGGGACTGTAGACATTGTGCTTGTATCTTATAGATCTTTTGGCTGTGAATGAGTTCCAAAATGTTTTTCATATTCTGATCAAAACTGGAAACAATAAAAATGAAGGACAGCATCTAAAGCAGTTATGTTTTATTGACAGTATATGTTATGTATAATACATATAGATATATGTGCCCTTGCACATATTTTTCAGGGTTTTTTGTTTGTTTGGAGCTTTTTCCCTGTAGTATAGCTTTTTCATTAACTCTAGATGATACCCGTAATTCAAATTCCCTGTTGACTTGGGAACCTGAATGTCTTTCAGAAGTAAATAAAAGGACTAAATGAAAGCATGACATGAAGTTGGCCACTATATCACCTCATGGCTAGTCGCACCAGCTAGGAAGGGTAGTGTAAAAATACTTCTTTAACAGTTCCTTTTGTAGTGCCTGTAGACAACTTGTCTTTTTATTGTAGGTGTGGAGGGTGCAGCTTTCCAGAGTAGACTTCCACATGACCGTATGACATCACAAGAAGCTGCCTGCTTCCCTGATATAATCAGTGGGCCACAGCAGACTCAGAAGGTGTTTCTGTACATCAGGAACCGCACCGTAAGTTTATTGTAAAAGTATTGATGAAAAAAGGGTAGGACATTTGTGTACCTTGCAAAGACTTTTTGGCAGTTGCCATGTCTAAGAGTTGGTAGATTGTTTTGTTTTGCTTTTGAGACGGTGGGTTTCATTTCTGGCATCCTATCATGCTCTAAGTTGCTAAGGAAGGTGTTACCCAGTTCTTGATTGAGGCACTGCTGTGAGGCAGCATGAAGAATCTGTAGTATATTTACAATATCCAAAACACAGCCATAACAACCATCAAAACTGCAGGGTTCGGCTAATATAGCTTTTAAAAAGTAGACAAACAGAAAGCTGGTGCAAATGTTCTATTACTTGATCTCAGCTTAAAGAAGTCTCTGTAGTATACTTAAAAACAATATTCAGTGAAATACATTGTTGCTTAGAATAAGGCAAACCTCTCAGCTTTTATTTTTTTACTTTGCTTAGCATTCAGTTGCTGTAATATTGAGACATAAAGCCAGTCATGTGGCTTATTCTCAGAACAGAATAGTTACTTTGCCAGCTTAGATTTCATAAAAGAAATTGTAACATTGAAAAAATGAAACTCTGCTGCTGAATGTTTGTAGCAT